TCCTGCTGAGATGATAAGAGACTGTGCTGATAATACATGCCATCTTTCCTTTGGGGAGTTCCAAATACTTTTTGTATATTTTAGCCAAACATATTGTATATTTGCTAGAGAGTGAAGTTCTTTTCAAGGATAACTGCCGAAAGTGGAAAGCCATCTTGCTGAGTGAGGGGAGAACCCTTTAGGAGATGAACCTGGGAACAATGACAGCTGCCTGTCACCTGCTGGGTGCTTTTCGTGAACATGCTCCTGGGGTGGCTCTCAGGAGAGCACAGACAAAGGAGAGAGAGGAGAGGGCAGGGAGTGCTGTCCGGGCCTTCCTTGGCTTCTCACCTCTTCCCCCTGCCACATTCGACTCCCTCAGGTGTCCCCGCAAAGAGAAAGCTCTGTAGTTATTCTTCTTTTCTATCTTGAATGAATATTGTGACACTAGAATGCCAGGTCACTTGGGCTGTCATTCCCTGGAATCCAGGAAAGAAGGAGGGGACCCCTGCCCCTTGGATCGTCCACAGTAGCCTGGACCTTGACTGGCTCCCTCAGCCTCCATTTGGGGAAGGAAAGGGTAGTTTGGAAACTGAGACCTGGGTCGAGGACCAGACTCCAGGTCCATAATATAAATGAAAGGCAGAACCTGTCCCAGAACGTAAGACTCTCAATTCCCTGTTCAACAGATTTTATGCTTTTTCCCAGCTCACTGTGGCTGCGTCCCTTGTGGAATTATCTAAGTTTCTCATACTAATCTATTTTCCAATCCTGGTGCCAGGCCCAGGAGCTCATGTTCCCTGGGTTCTTTCTTTCAGATCTGCCTTTCGTTGCTACTTTGCTGCAGCAACTCCACAGAGACACCCTTGTTATTTGAAGGGGACAGTTCCTGATTGTACAAGGGGACCCTCCTGACGTTTGAAAAGTGTTAGCATCCCTGGGGCCAGGCACTAAATGCCCGTAGTGATCCCCTCATGAGTGTGACATGCAGAAGCACCCCGACTCAATTCCACATGCTCCGGGGGTTGGGGGGAGGGTAGCCCAGGTGAGAACCACTGCCAGGGGCTTGGACAGGCCCTTCCTCCACCATCTAGTCCAGGACCACCAGTGCCTCTTCTCGCCTGACCACATTTCAGTGGGAAGGATCCCCTAAATGATTCATTCGTTTATGTTCACCCTGCACATATTCCCAGAGCACCTGCTAACAGCTCCACACCCTGTTTGAGGAGCTGTAGATCCACCAGCCATTAGTCACCACTCACGTCTGCCCCTTCCTAGCTCTATCCTACCTTCATCTTTTTATTTGCACGTTACTTCATAAATGTCTTCCAGTCATCCCTGGACCTCTGTTCTGACTCCCTACCTGGGGACTCAGCTTGTCCAGGACAATATGACCACTTCTGCTTTGGCTTTTTTCCCTCTGAGACCCCAGAGCAATCATCTTCATGTAGTAGGAATTCAGTAAGTGTTGGTCTGACTGCGTGATCCAAGGATATGCAACCATCGCCAAGGGTATATTTCTTTTCTGTAATAGAGATAATGGTTCTGATGTGTCGTTTTTTCTAATCTGAAGATTCTATTTTGTCTGCCACCCACCTGTAATGAGGAATAGCGTGGGAAACATTGGTATCCCTGGTAAACAGTAAATTTGACATATGTCATGTCCAAGGAGAAGACTGACTCTGAGTGCCCCTTATTTCCTACATGCATCCTGAGGAAGCCTTGGTCTTCGAGGCCATGCTTTGAACCCCTCCCAGTTATGACTTCGCAGTCAGAGAAGTCTTTTTCTGCCTTCCGTAGACTCAGAGTGCTTGGCGGCGTAAGGCAAACAGGCAAAAAAATAGGACAGATGAAAGGAAAGTGAGTGCAAAACTGGGAGAATCTGAGGGAGCAATGGAGGCCTTCTTGTTTCCTTTTTCTTTTAATTTTTATATTATGGAAAATTTCAAACACACAAAAATTCCCAGAATACTATACTATTCCCCCAGTGTTCTTGTCACCTAGCTTCAACAGTTATCAACCCAAGACCATCTGATTTCATTTACCTACTCTCTCTTCCCTCCAATTGTATTATTTTATAATCCCAGCATCGTGTAATTGTATTCATAAATATTTCAATATGAATCTCTAAAAGAGTCTTTATAAAAACATTGCCACAGTTACGCTACTGTGTCTAAAACATAGCAGCAATCTCCTAATATCATCACGTAGCCAGTCAGTGTTCCAGTATCCAATTGTGATGCTTTTATCCGTAAATCTGAAAACCAGGTCCAAAATTATACCTTCATAGGAAAAGAAGCTGCAAAGGAACCAAAACAGATCTTTTCCTTACAGGAAAGTAGAATAAAGCAATGGTAAAAGGGAATTCCGGAAGTAAAAAATGAAATAGCTCTGATCAGTACCATGTCTCCTGAGACCTGTCCAACCTCACCTGTGGAGTATGTCCAGTCTCCTCAAGCTCACCCCCTGGTGGCAAGTGTGACCCATGGGGGCTCCCCTTAACTCTTCAGAAATATTCGTTTCCTAACACGAGAGGATTCTCTACTGTGTTATTAGTAGTTTCATATTTGGCCACCTGTCAGAAGTGTGGGTGACACAGGGTTTCTTTTTAAGTATTGATTGAGCACATAATTTTAAAGTCAGAATATTAAATAAACATCTCTGCCCTTTCTTCCAGCAGGCAGCCCAGAGAACGGCTCTCCACGCTCTGTCTGACAGGTACATTTTGTCATTTTTATGAACTATAAATTGCTTTATGAAACATTGAGCCCTATTTACTGTGGCAAATAATTCATAATCGGATTTTGTCCCTAAAGTATCTGTGAACTGGGATGTTAAACATTTTGCATGCTTCAATTTGTCATGCATGTGTGGAGTTTATTACTGCAAAAATCGCCTTGTTGTATTTCATAGAAAGTATGAAGAATCCCTTGTTGTACAGTGAAACAGGAGACAAGAAACTTGGAGGGAAAGTCCTGAATGGTGCAGTAAATTCTGAACTTTGGAATTGGTTGAGATCTAAGCTCATTTTTCAACAATAAGTATTTCATTTATTCTGGGGTGTTGTCTTCAGACTTCTTTTCCACATCATTTCCCCGAGAGCTATCTGTCTTCTGATGAGATTCTCTCTCGAACTTTACTTTATGCACGGAACCCAATTCATGGTGCTGTGCATGCCTGACTTTTGACTCCTTGCTCTGGCTTGTTTTTTCTAACTTGTGTTATTGAATGAGATATGTAAAGCTAATCAGTAAACATACTCCAGCTGTATTTCACATCTTCCTTTGCCTATAAGACTGTTTGAAAATATTTGAATGGGGATATATAAAGTTACTTTCTAGAATAGACCAGACCATCTCTTGGTTTGGGTTGGTTTTTGATTTCTCATTTGCCAAATTGTGTGTGTGTGTGTTTTAAAGAACCATCAGGAGGTAAGCATGAAGCTTAGTTTTCTCTCCACAAGTGAGGTTCTCACAGGGCTGGAAACAGCCGGAGGAGCTGTTCCCCTCGGCGGGCTGGCAGGCATCTCAACATTGTCTAGCTACCACCACCCCCCTCCCTTCCTTCCCAGTTCTTTTCTGTGGAATGAGCAATAACTGACTGTGTAAACCAGCTCAGTTCAGTGCTTCTCCAAGGTGAAACCTGTCACTTAGGCGAATTATCTGTGCTCATGGGTGAAAAGCGTTTTCTCAATGGTGGCAGACTGAGCCCAAGTGTTTTGATTTCAATTGAAAAGCCTTCCCCATGACAACCACACAAGCCTGTGGGCTCTAAGAGTGGCTGCCACGTGATCTTCTGGGGTTGCTTCTGGGATTTTCGCAAAAGCTGATAACTGTACTGCTTCTGAGGCCGTTGGTAGAAAGAAGAGAGACTCTGGATCACAACACACTTAAAATCTGACACATTAATTCTTTTCCTCTACATATTTCTTTTTTCCCTTTGACTTTTATTCTTCAGTGATTCCTTCAACAAAATGCATTGAGAAGCAAGAGAAAGCCCTCAGTTGACAATATTATGCCACTGCCAGTGGTGACGAGGTTTCTTTTTGGGGTGATAAAAATGGTATAAAATTAGATTATGGTGAAGACTTCACAACCCAGTAAATATACTAAAAACAACGGAATTGCATGCTTTAAATGGGTGAGCTTTATGGTATATAAATTACATTTCAATAATGCTACATATCTAGGCACAAAATATCTTTATAGACTTTGGTAGAATGAATCAAGAACCATTTTTAAAAACATGGACTCCCATTGAAGACATGATTGTAGGTACAAAGACAAGTCATCAGAAACTAGGACCGGTATATTCTAAGGCTTCTCCCCAAAAGATACAGGACTTTGTCCTGGGTAGAAAATGTGCATAGATTTTCATGATGAGCAACGCTATTACCTTTGACATTTTCTGATCTTCTCTCAAAAAGCCCCTCCTGAAGCCCAATAATTAATTGGCCAGTAAGTTAGTATCTTAGCCCTTGTTCTTAGATAACCACTTAGTGCAGATACTGTGAGGAAAAAAAAGTTCATTCCCTGGAAACAGAAAAACAGAGGTTCCCATTGTCACTGCTCTTCTAACGAATTTCCCTGTCTTCAAACGTAACTGAGCATTTCCCTCTAAATCTTAACAGTTTTTCTGTTCACAGTGGGAGGAACTCAGCGCCTTTCAAAGTAATGGGCTGACTTTGCCTACTATTTAAGCGATGCAGTTGTGTAAACTTCTCTGTGCTTTTCCTGGTTTATGTTTTCCATTAATTCAGGACCACTGGAGTATTTCCATGAGTGAGAAGTCTCTGTAATTGCCGGGCGATACAGTTAAAAGCCCTTCTTCAAAATAAGGACTTGTAACACCTACTGAATTAATTGGATTCATGTTTTCTAGTTTCTTAAATTAGAGAACGCTAACTTAACACATGACAGATGTCATTTTCTATCACATTACCTATTCTGTTGAATAAACTAGTCTTTTCTAGAAAATGAGGGATGTGGCTTTGGGTCCAACCACCATATGACTTGCCTAAATTTCTGTCTGTCCCCAGAACGACCTCAGGTTGGGAAGGGAATTGAGTAGAAATTCCCCTCCAGGTTGTGCCCTTCCCAAGGTAGAGATCTAGCCCCTGTATCTCTGGCTACTTACAGTCTGGTGGTGATCTATCATACATTCATTAACGCAGACTCTACTGGTTTCCTAAACTCTTTTTTCAGCCTGTTATCACCTCTTGATATAAAATTCCATAACGATTAGGCAGCAATTTTGTTTCTCTCCGAGAAAAAGAAAGAACACTTTTCAGGCCTTCAAAGCTGCTTCCTGAGTTCTGCGATTCTGGAGTTGGACAGAAAGCCCATGCTAGCTTGAGTCAGGCTACCATGTGACACTGAGGCATCCCACTGGTTTGCTCCTCTCTGGGCCCATGTCACTTCCATTTAACCTTATAACTGCCTAAGTACCTGGTGAACACAGGACGTGTGATCCAGAAGGAGAGCTATTTTGTCTCAAGATGTACAACTCGGTGATGAAATGGGATTCGCTTGACTAGGATTGTAGGGGCGATGTGAGTTTACACTGTAGGAAGCCAGTTGTCCTCTGCTTCCCCGTAAGAAAGCCTACCTTCGAGGCTTGGGGACCTGGCCTAATGGGACTAGATACAGGGAAAAGGGGTGTCGTTTCCCTCTATGAGGGCAGTAGAAATCTCATCCCCGTGGGGTGTCAGAGCGTAGAGGATATCCAGATATCTTCTGAAGGTCAGTCTTGTCTATCTTTTCATTGCTCCAGCTTCCTGGTTTCCAGGGGCATTCTAGCAGAAACCTAGCGTCCGACAGTTGCGATTGTAATGGTTTAAAGTTCAGTGAGTCCTCAGTAGTCAATACACAACCTTGACCAATTAAAACTCTGATATTGCCATTACTAAAATTTAAAAAGCATCTGTGGTCACTCCCATAGAAAACCTTTTGCCTTCTTTGACTTTGTCTGAGTGATGGGCTTATTGATGGTTCAGCCAAAATAGCCCAAACACTCCACAGATCCAAACAGGATCACGACAGCGAGGCAAATGTGGGCTTTGGCCCAACTAACCCGTGCCACCTGCAGCAATGGGAAGGGTGTGTGAAGGTGGGATGGTGGCTTGAGTTTTGTTCTTTTTTACTGCTGCCTGTAGAATTTTTTATCCATCTGTTTTATGCCATTGAGAGGCAGCTGGCCTACCAGAGGACTGCCAATGCCCCAAATAATGAAAAAGCAAGGCACCAGGGCAGGAAGAGGTGGCAAAATTCTCAGCAAGGTAAACCAATCAATTACTTTTTTTTTTTTTTTTTTTTTTTTTTTTGGTGGAAAGTAAAGTTTACTTTATTTTGGATGCCGGCAACTGGGGGGAGGTGCAGACTCGTGTCCAAAGGCCGACTCGCCCCCCCTCCCCCGACAACCAGCGGGCAAGAGCTTCCATAGGCGGAGGGAGGGTGGTACACGCAGAAACAGCACAGTCAGCTCTGACCGTCATCAAGAAATTGGTCATTGGTGGTCTGACCAGCACCATCTTGATTGTTTTAGGTACAGTTAACCTTCAGTTCCTGGGTCGGTTTGTTCCCATTTCCTTGAGGCCAGTTCTCGGAATTGTGGCAGCTTGTGTCATGGCTACAGTCTGGTCATCATGTAGTTCACTTCTTCCACCTGGTGAGGGTTTCAGTACCTGTAACCCGGCTCACAGGATGTGGCTCAGAATATTATCCAGAGTCCTTGAGAGGGAACTAAATGTCCTTGACTTTGCTTACTGACTAAACGGTTATCATTTTGTCCTGTTTGACTGCTTTTCTTTGCTTCTACGTTTTCTCACTTCTCCGATTAAACTTATTCTTTGGCTAAAGTTTTTACGCAGATAAAAGACAGGAGGATACGGGGGTGGGGGAAGGACCATAGGGTCCTGTTTCATTTCGCTCCCCATGGCCCTCTCCCCTGGCAAATGCCAAACCACTTTCTCTCTGTGAATTTGCCTCTTCGGGGTATTTCATAGAAATGGAATCCTGCGAAATGCACTCTGTTGTGTTTGGCCTCTTTCACTGAGCGTGTTTTCAAGGTTTATCTGTGTTGTAGCATATGTACTAGTAATTCATTCCTTTTTTGTCTTTTGAGATGTCTTATCAATTAATTTATTCTAAATTGCCAGTGTAATTTTTTTTAATTTCATTTTTTTATACAGCAGGTTCTTATTAGTTATCCATTTTATACATATTAGTGTATATATGTCAATCCCAATCTCCCAATTCATCCCAACATCACCCCCCCACCACCACCACTTCCCCCGCTTGGTGTCCATACATTTGTTCTCCACATCTGTGTTTCAACTGCTGCCCTGCAAACCTGTTCATCTGTACCGTTTTTCTAGGTTCCACATATATGTGTTAATATACGATATTTGTTTTTCTCTTTCTGACTTAACTTCACTCTGTATGACAGTCTCTAGATTCATGCATGTCTCTACAAATGACCCAATTTCATCCCTTTTTATGGCTGAGTAGTATTCCATTGTATATATGTACCACATCTTCTTTATCCATTCGTTCGTCGATGGGCATTTAGGTTGATTCCCTGACGTGGTTATTGTAAACAGTGTTTGGGTGAACATTGGGGTGCATATGTCTTTTTATAGGACCTGGAATTTTTTTTTTTAACCCTAGTCTCCCCATTTTATTTATGTATTTATTTTGGTTGTGTTGGGTCTTCGTTTC